TGGTGAGACACTGGATCAGGTTGCCCAGAGAAGCTGTGGATGCCCCCTCCCTGGAAGTGCTCAAGGCCAGGCTGGATGAGACTTTGAGCAACCTGGTCTAGTGGAGGGTGTCCCTGCCCATGGCAGGGGGAATTGAACTCGATGATCTTTAAGGTCCCTTCCATGATTCTATGATTCTATTAAAACCCCACCCTTTTCCTGTCCAACCCCATCCAACCTGTCTAGCTGCATCATGTGCTGCATCATGTGATGTTTGTTGACAGCCAGGACAACAAGATGGCTGCACTTGATGTGGATGCCAGGGCACCAACAGATGTACATAACACCTACTCTTTTTGGCAGAGTCCCGAAGGACAAAGATATTTTCAGTTTTTCTGTTTGTCACCTGCTGGAGGTTTCTTTGTATTTTCTGTTCACTGGAAATATAACACAATGACAGCAGCAGAGTGACAAAAAGAGAAAACAAGCAAGTGATTAAGACACAAAGTAATGCAAATGAACTGGCAGTGACAGAAGACAGACCTTCAGCATACAAAGGGACTCTGCTGCAACACACACAGACCCGTGCAATAAAGATGTAATTAAGGAAAAGAACACAGACTCCTTTGTAACAACACGGACTTCATCTGCTTGGCATGACTGCTGTCAAGGGAAAAGCAGCTGTGACTGACTTTGCAATTGTAGTGCAGAGTGGATCACACTTGTGTTATTTAATCAGATGTATTTATTACTGGGATATAGTGGTATCAGTTTGCCCCTAGAGGTAACAAACTCAAGAATAAGGTTGCTTCTGACCTTGATTACAATTTCTAGTGAAGGATTTTCTGATGGAAATACTAGCAGTCAGGCTATTGAACTGAGAGTATCAGCTTCAAACAGCTTTCGGTCAGAGAGGCACATATGAAAAGCATATTCAACACAAATCCTAGCAGGTGACTGACTGAGGAATATTATCCTGTTTGTTAATGTCCTGCTGGAGAGAACTCAGTAATTTATAAATTGCATAATGAGACATCTAAGAAGGTCCAAGCAGATCTACACCAGAAGTGGACTTTTCATGTCCAAGTACTTCCCTGAACTTTTTTTATTTATAATCAGATAAGAGTAATTCAGATATTTCTTATTTCTCATTAGGATAAATTGTGACCTAGACAGATTAGTATAATCTGGACTTAAAAATTTGTATGAGGATATAAAGTTACATCACTTAAACTTGACGGCTGTAAACAACTTTACATGGACGGGTTTGTTCTTTATTTGATCTTTCCATTGCTGATCCAAGAAAATGCACATGAAGGAGGGAGAGGGAGTTAACGCTGTGAGAGCCAGCACCACATTGCCCAAAGGAATCAGTAAAATACATTTTAACTAAGGGAAGCACATTGCTTCCCAGCATTCATGCCTCTTTCAAATACTAATAGCTAAGCAGTTAAGAACTCTCTTGTTGTGTGTGTGGCATGAATTTAATAAATTCTTACAAAGCAGGTGTACCATTAGGATGGAAGTGACATATATGTATGAGTTAAGAATGTACAGCTGAAGGGAATACTTGGATATGTATTTGAAGTCTTTTTTTACATATTCCTGTATTTTATAAGATGAAATTAAAATCATTATTCCTATGTAATACATGGATTTTCTCATTATGAGAAAAAAGTAAATTTAGTAATATGGAAATGAGGAGAGGAGTCAAAAAACAGGAACTCCTCCCATATTTTGAGAAACAAGGTCTTTTGTCATGATTTTTTAAGTTTGACCGAACTCATCTGCTAAAAGAACCCTAAACACGACAATCTGTGGCTTTCAGATTGTGACAATTTCCTATAACTATTTTAAAGTAACAGTGTGAAACAAAGGCAGGTTTTGGTGCATTCAGACTGCTAGGAAATTAATTCCAGAGAAGACAGTTAACTTCCCAGACAAGGTAACTTAATCTAGTTTTAGAAGGAAGTGTTTTCAGAGAATGTTAACTCACTTTAAGCTATTGAAAACCTCATAGTCTCCTATACTGCTAGGTCCTTCCTCTATGTTTTCATGTAGTGCTATGTGGATCAAACAATTATCTTAGCACTTATGAATTCAAAATTATTTGCTCTTAACAAGAACTTCTGCACTATGCATTTTCCTTATTTCTTTCTTTCTTTTTAGAAGAAGTGTACGAAGTTACATCTTGTACCAGGTGAAGTGGCAGACAACTTAATTCATTGGGAGAATTGAATATTAAACATTATGGAAGAATAAACATAGCCTAATAGAGACTCAAATGCCCTATTCAAAAATGAAAAAAAGCCATTTTTAATATTTACTTGAGCCTGTAATCTGCACATTTTTTTTAATGTGCATTTTATAACATTGTGCTTGGCTAGCACAAACAGTAGAGAGCTGAGAAAAGGAACACTTCAGTCAATAACTACATTAGCTAATCTGATACCATGGGGCTGGAAATTTCTCAGTAATGAGACAATTAACAGAGGTTTTGGCACCACTCATCATCTTTCTTTCATAAAGAAATATCTGAAGACAATTTGAAAATTAGAAAAAAATAAGCTGCTTGATGAGGCAGACAAATAGACTAATTGCAGTGGATTTCTCTTAAAGCCTCTGTCACAGCTGATCTGCTGTTGACTCATACACAACACCTATCAAGAATGATTCATTTTTCTTAAAGTGTACACATTTACTCATTCGATTAAAGAATAAGTAGCTTTGTGATTATTCTTTTCCTTAAAGCAATTTCAAGTCTGAGGTCCCTCAGGGGCTTAATTCAGATACCTGTTACAGTTTATGAGTACGCTTCAGAGTCAGAGTGATAAACTGCAGAATTGGTGTTTTTCTGATATGCAACTTAAATTCATACAAGTACAGCAGGTGATAAAAAAACTGTATCTTCTTTACATTTTAATGACAATTCCAATAAGTGCTTTTCAGGTTTTTATTTTGTCAAGAAGAGCTCAGTTAAAAACCCACTCAGGCCCCTTTATCAGTGACAGAACCTGACGGTGTGTGCTTCTAAAATGGGCTTACTGTAACTACTCTTTGCTCATTACTAGCCTGATATGCCACAAGAAGGTTTTCTCAGTAATACCATATTGTCTAGCCAGATGATTTGAGACAAAATCAGCCCATTTGATTTTCAAGGATTAACAGCTTTATGTTGAGAAAGCATATGACAGTCTTTGCAATAACAGAAGAATTGAAAAAATTGTTCATTGAGATTACAAAGTAACAACAGTATCAGCAAGTTGGCTGCAAGAATGAATTGTTGTCTTTGTAATCTAACTTCCATTGTTTCAAAAAATCAAATGACTACAACGCAGCCATTATGCAGTACCAGGTTAATATTAACAGCATGAACAAAACAAAACAAAAAATCAAAAAAAAGAGTAAAATCCTACACAGTGGAATAGAGGAAGAAAGGAATTTCTTCGTGCATGCTCTGAAACAACACTGTTTAGAAGGAAAAAGAAATAATGACTAAAAGAAAAAGATAAAGCTGATGAAGGCATTACTAACAAAAAATGTATGTAAATAATGCCATATTCTACACAGGTGCTGTGGTTAAGAGCATCACTGTACAACCATTGGCAACAGTTTTAAGAAGAAAACAGCAGCTGCAAATCACTTAATGACCTGATAATTTAACATTTTCAAATAAAGACTTCAAGAGGCTAACAAAGAGTGGAAAATGGTGTTCCTAAACTTCAAGGATAATTATCATGTTTTTTTCCCTGAATGATGAAATTAATTACATAAAAATAGCAAGCACCAAAGCATTCAAGCACTTGGTGGATACAGGAAACAACACTTCTTATAGTAAAGCCTATTGTTCCTTCTTTTGATAAGAGCATAATGCATTTTTGCCTTATCATGGAAGTGATAGTGTTATAAAAGCCCATCAATTCCAGGCTATCTCACAGAGGTCAGGCTGCAGACTGCAATTTAAGTCAAGGCAGGAAGGATAAACTGTTCCCAAGAGTAGGCCATGTTGTATTACATACACAACACAAGAATGATTCATACGACTTAAGAGGTTAGGAAGGATATCAGAAGTACGTATATTAACTGACACTCTCAGATATGAGGGTGAAACACTTTTTTTTTTTTTTTTTTAAACAACTGCAACGATAAGGAAATGGAAGAGTAAGATGTTACAGAATTAATTCCAAGGCAAGTATTCAATCTAGATGACCTTACTAAAAGGTAAAATACAGAAAATGCACTGTATTCAGCATTGCGTGGCCTATGACAATATTTACTCCAAGCTAAAATGTAGTAGTGAAAGCTACCAAGATAAAATAAACTTTTATTAATGATAGTGCTTATTTATCAGTGATAAAATGTTCTGTGACCAAAGAAAGATCCCAGAATTTAACACAGAGCACTTCCAGGACAAAAAACATGCAAAACACAAAGTCACTATAAATAATCTCAGATACACTTTTCCCGCTAAAAGCACCTAATACTAAACTACAGAAAAAAAAATCGTAAGCAGCTCACATGAAATATGATTAAAAGCTACTCATCTACAATACAAATTTGGTTCCAAATCACCTTTACAAAGCAATAATATTTATAACCTATTCAGAAACTCAAGTTTAATCCTAAAACACTCTGTGTATGTATATGCACACGTGCAGAAAACCAATAATATACTCTGTATATATGAAATTTTGTCTTCCTTACAAATAAAAGTTCAGGGAACTGTCCATACAGTGTATTTTGTCTAAGAGTCTCAGCTGGTGCAAAGTCATACTTCCTCCATTATAAAGGAGTTAACTCAGTTCATGTCAGGTGAGAATCTGTAATTTTTTTTTTCTCCTATTCAACTTCAGTATTGATTTTGCTGCAATATTGATACATCCTGTTTTTTCAACCCAAGAACTGTTCAGTGAGTTGCTGAAACCCAGAGCATGAAGTGCAGCCTCTTATTGTTTAAAGTTATGGACAGCTTCATTTACAAACACACAGCTTTATCTGTTGTACAATATTTGAAAATTTACCTTTCGGACTGAAGCCAAACGATTCATCATTAAAGACTCTTCCCTATCATCGTCATCATCCAAGTCCAACATGGGCATACTAAAGCTATCAATAATACTGCAGCACCTGGAGTTTTCATCCCTTGGATCAAAGGGATCCACAATTATTGGTTCAGTTCCTTTGATTTCACAGCGGCAGAAAGGACAGCCTTGGCCATCAGATTCCTGCAGCAAGACAAAGAAAGCAAATACATTTTTAAAAATAAAAAATAGAAGTAATTTTAAAAGTAGTTCTCATATCTTTCTACACAAGAATGCCCTTAAACAGGTCTCTAAGAGCTTGTAAAGCAGCACTGGAGTAAACAGGAAACAGATTCACAGACATTTCACTCTAGTAAATGATAAAATGACTGCACTTTTAAAGTCTCTATTCAAAAGATTCAGCTTCACTTAAAAATAACTAATCAAATTGCAACCATTATCTCTACAAAGCACCAAAATTGTAATTGTCTTAGTATTATTAGTCAGGAAGTAACACCTTGCATTTTGGGATTACAATTTCCCTGTTCCTTCAAAGGAAAAAGGGTGATGTGTGTAGACAGAGATAATGCATTTCATTATGTATCTTTTATATTAAATAGAAGATATTTATTTTTCATTTGAAGTTGGAAAATGCAGATGGAGCTTTAGGGTACGCAGCTCTTATTCTCTGAAGAACACATATACAGTCCATCACAGCTGCAACATTACCATCATTCAGTGATATGCATACAGAACATCTAAAGGTACAAACATTTTTTGACATGTTTAAGTAACAAACCGGTACTTTACTACATTTACAGTAAATTATGTAAAACAAGGAACTATTTTCACTTGTTATCAGCAACAAAAATTACTTGAATTTTAATATCTAAGTGGTATAATGTGTTACATGATTTTCAAGCAGCCATATTTCCATTCCTTTTACTCATTTCAGAATTCTTTTTTCCTTGTCAGAAGTAATCAAAAAGCCTTTAAAGTAGATTTCAGATACTAATGAACAGAAATATCAGAAAGACATCTTTCAAGCACTTATTTTTTCCATCAAGAGGCACAATGTGGATTTGAAGAAAAAGAAAAAAAGAAAAAACAAAAAACAACCCAAAAGAACCCTGAAGCTTTGAGAGATCAAGATAACACAACCTGAATTCAGAAATCACATTGTCACACTTGCAGTTAGGTAGACAGATAGCTAAAAAGATACAAACACCAAAATTAATTCTAAACAACCTACCTACGCTGAAATAACAAACAAGTACAGCTTTTTGATTTCTCAGATGTAAGGAGAGCTTTAATTTTTTTCTAGCATTATTTTTACCTTGACACTTGCCCATCTTACTGAACTGACAGATGATTTTACAGTTCATGGAAGCACTGTATCCCAAGGCCAGTTAACTACAGATGTTGTCTCCTAACAAGTCATGCCTATTTGCATGGTTAGTACTCGATTTTCATTTTGTACAGAAAGTTATATGTAATCTGCTTTTACCAGCCTTGCATCCTAATTACAAAGGACTAGTCAACATCCCTTACTACCTCAAAGAGTGCCTCCAAATTATATGGACCTACTGAAGTAATCACTGTCCAGTGAACAGAAAGAAGTCCTCCCTTACTTATACAATTCTTTATACAGTTTCATTTTCTAAAAACAGCCTTACAGATGAGGCACAGAGCTTTTCATTTTCACAGCTGTTTTGTATCTGCATTGTCAAATAGTTCTGTACTAGTGGTTTCCTTCCTTTCTTTTCAAAAGCACTAAGTTCATCAAAATATATTTGGTAACCAATCACAGCAGCAAAGACTTGCATTCAAGCATACGAATACGACCAAGAAATTAAAACTGAAATCCAAGATGTCTATATGAATACATACATTTGTCCATGCCCACTGAAAGGTTATTTAGAACACTATGAACCTTACAATGCAGCATGTAAGTCCATATGCTTTTAGACTCAATCCAGACATGTAGTTGTCAAACAAAAATAGATTACTGTGAAAGAAAATTACATTTTACTCCTGTTGCATAATACAAAAAGGAAACAGTTAAATCAAGTCTTATTTGAGAGACTGATCTTCATGAAGATTAATAATTCTGCATCATCCTTAGTATTCTATGCAGATCTGATGTTGCTTACTCAATTTTTTTCTGCTTAGTGAAAACATCTGTATTGGACCTCTTGAGGCATGTCTAATGAGCCATTATTGCTGCCAATTAAACACTAGCCCAACAGAAGCTCACAGCAGCTGACACTGTTACAGTGCAATACTTCTTCATTGCCTCACTAATTATACAAAAGTTAAATTTGTAATGAAGTCCGATATGTACTGGCCAATTACAGCTGCTTGCAATGAAGCTTAATGTTTTCAAACATGTCAGTTCTCTGAGCCTAAAATGCTTTGTTGTCCTTTTCCTGAACCCCTAGCCATTGGCCAAAGCACTGAGGACCCTAGCTTCTCAAGTCTTCAGAATCAGAGCACATCACTGGCACAACACTGGAATATGCTGCTACCGTTTTATGAGACATTCGGCAATCAAAAAAGTACAATGATTTCAGTCCTTTTGCCTAGTGCCTTCAGCTAAGGAAAAAAAAAAAAAAACAAACAAAAAAAAACAAAAAACAAAAACAAAAACAAAAACCAAACAAAAACAATCCCAAAGACCTACCGACCTCAGAATTTCAGAATTTTTTAAAATCAAAGATTAACATAGTCAGACCTCTATGTTTGTCACCCAGAACGAAACTGGTAAGAACAGAGAAAGGGTATTCCTGAAATGAGAAATACTCTTCCAGCTCAGCAGTTGGTTATTAGTGGAATTTTCTTATGTAGGTATGTCTAAAGTTGAATTTTATCAGAATTTCTCATCTTCGGGCAATTTGAAAGATTTGTGTTTGAGTCACCAAACTCAAATTTCAGAAAGAACACCAAGTCAGAAACTGAGAATACTCCTTTTTCAGCAACCTTTATTGCTCATAGAAGAAAAACTTAAATAATACTTCTGATACATCATGTTGGCTTGCCAATGGTGATTTCTTAACTATAAATTGGAAAAGAGAAACTATAGTACTTTAAGTCATATCTCACACATGAGAATGAAAACTCATTAACTGAGATGAATGCATTTAAAACCATGTCAAAAATGGACTAAAGGATTCTTTTTACTTTTCTCACTACATTTGTAATGAAAGACTGGGTGCCTAACTGTGGAATAGAGTCCTGCCTGAGAAAGGGATGACCCTTACTTCTCTCCTTGATGCTGACTGTGTTGAACTAAAGGTACCACTCCTCACTTTTTCCACAGACTGGTATGTTCATGAACAAGACAGACAAAACACATCAACCTGTGTCACAAGGAAGTCTCTGTGTTTTTGGGATATTCTGTAAATGACAGTGAGCGATCAGTTTTCCCTCCATGCAATGTCTTACCCCAACAACTGTCTAAAGCTAGGTGGTTTAGTACTCTACATATTATTAACATGAAACACAAGAATCCTAAGCTAATTTTTCCACAGGCTATTTCATGACTTGTACTACTGATTGAATCCTTGCCTCACCAAAGGCATCCTGTCTCTTAATAAAATGCTGTCTAGTCAGTTATCCACTCCCAGCAGCTACCTGTCCTCTCCATGCATTTTGAATACATCATCAAGTGACCTGGGTGACTGAATTGTCACCAAATGCCCAGCTTTCACTGAGTAGATACTGCGCTCAGGAAATAGTTTCCACTTAGCAGCAGTCACCAAACAGCCTTGGCAAGCCTACAAGTCCAGATGTTAATGACTACTGGAACTTTATTTTTCACGGAACTAGATCCACAAAATGAAAAAAACTTATCATTTTAAATGTATATGTCCCTGAACCCTCACTACTGAGTAGCTGGATGTGGTGGGTTAACCTTGGCTGGATGTCAGGTGCCCACCAGGCCCCTCTATCACTCCCCCTTCAGCAAAATAAAGGGGAAGAATAAGATGAAAAACTTGTGGGTCAAGATAAAAGCAGTTTAATTAAAGCAAAGGCCAAGGCCATGCACAGAAACAAAAGGTAAACAAAGATGCTATTCTCTACTTCCCAGGAAAGCAGAGCTTCAGTGTGTGCAGCAGCTGCTCCTGCAGACAAACCCAGTAACCAATGCCCCCCTCCTCCTGCCTGCCCTGGGCTGTTATGGCTGAGCTGAGGTCACATGGTCTGGAACAGCCAATCCGGGTCAGCTGTCCCAGCTCCGCCCCCTCCCAAGCTGTGTCACACACCCCCTGCTGGCTGCCAGGGTCACACTCAGCACTGGGAGGGCTGCTGGGGGCGGGGGGTACTGACTCCAGCTCAGCCTCACCCAATACACTGGAAAAGTAAGCATATATCCGCATTATAAACAGGGATGTAAAAGAGAAATCCATCCTCTTTTCCACTAACTGAACTATGACAGTACCTGCCACGCTGTAAGACAAGAAGTGCACATAAGGTGTCCACAAGGCTCTATCTTCACGTCCTTGTCATTCTCTGCACAGATTTTACAGAGCTGAAAAGTGGAACCCATTTCACAGTACAATTCATACTGCTCCTGTAACAAAAGAAAGCCAAGTGATTATTTCTTTACTGTGATTTATACACAAAGAATATACTTAAGCAGCAGTAGTGACACACATTTCTCCGAGTCCCCTGGTTTCCAGCCCCCTTATTAGTCAAGGAAATTATTGCTACCTATTGAAAAGCCACACGAAGGTTACTGAAACGGCTTACTTTGCTTCTTCAAACTTATGTTATACTACAATACCTGTTACAACAAAAGTTTAAAATATCTGTGCCTAATAGGTTTTCTACCGACTTCCTACATGTAACTGCTATGCAAGGAATATGTCCTGTTTTTCCTTAGTTGCAGTTAAGAGGAAGATATTGAACACATGGTTGTAAGTGAGAAATCAAGTGATGAATGGGAACAAAACTGGGATTTTATTTTCTAGATACAAGTTTAGGAGTAATAAAAGTTATTGGACTGAAAACTGTCAAGCAAAGAGGGCTTTCTACCTACAAGGATGTAGCATGGTAGTATGGTTAAAAGTAAACAACCCTTGTGAAGGAAGTACAGCAAGAATACCCCCCAGGGTAACATGGCAACAGTCATGCACAGATCATTCAGTGCTTTATATCACAGAATCAGAGAATAGTTTGGGTTGGAAAGGACCTTAAAAGATCATTGAGTTCCAACCACCCTGCCATGGGCAGGGACACCCTCCACTAGCCCAGGTTGCTCAAAGCCTCATCCAGCCTGGCCTTGAACACCTCCAGGGATGGGGCATCCACAGCTTCTCTGGGCAACCTGTTCCAGTGTCTCATCACCCTCACAGGAAAATATTTCTTCCTAATATCTAATCTAAACCTACCCTCTTAAAACCGTTACCCCTCATCCTATCACTACACTCCCTGATAAAGGTGGAATGCACACAGAGTACTTGGAATTACAGAAGATTCAGCAGGTCGTCCTGTCTGCTCTGATGAAAGGGAAGACCATCTAAAATAGTATGGCTCCTATCTAGTCTGATGCCTTTCCTTGAACATATCCTCAAGTCTTCCAGACGCCTTTGTCAGCAAAAATGCTCTACACAGTATACCTTTACCTTCTAGTGGTAATTGCAGCACCACTTTTAATCAAGCATTTGTCTTGAGGTGGCTACTTCCTATTACTTGAGTATCAAACATCTGCACATTAGTTTATCACATCATCACTTAAAAGACTACAAACACATCTACATAGTCTAATTTTCTCTGCAAAGTGACTCCCTTTAGGTACTTAATTATTTTTACTGCTTTTCCCTGATCTCTCTTTTAATTTGCACAATAAACAAAGAAGAAAGGAGACCTTGGAACCGATATCTTTGTAATAAATGAACTACACTTTTCCTCCTGGACCTGTACCATTCCTATTCAGGCTTCAAAACTACCACTTTATCTTCATTTTATTTCCTGCTATTAGCAAGGAAATACCAAGCCACATAAACCTGTACCATCAGATCAGAAAAATCTTTAATAACCTTTAACCACATTTCTCACTTGGTAGAGGCTTAGAATAAAGAAAATTTTCAAGACATGTTGTCTGCATCACCATCCCCTCTAGAGTGTAAAGGTTTATTATCCTGTTCTTCATCTAAGCCCTTCCATCAACAATGTATTTTCACTCTTACAAATTTATTTCTCACATTTTAATAAAAGCTTATTATCACTGCTAGATGAGATATTACGGGAAGTGAAGATTACAAAATAACTGACAAACTCTGCAACATACCTGGGTGACTTTTATATGATCATGTGGTGTGGGTTCACATAATCCTGTCAAATCAGGATTGTAACTTCGTCCATCTGGGAACAGATAGCTGCATCACAAAAATATTGTTACAAACATGCACATTTCTTTAGCTTTATTAGCTAAATAATACCTATGAAATTTCAAAGGGAAAGAATAAGTTACAGCAGACTACTACTAAAATGCCTTGTCTTTCCTCAGCTGTCTTTCTTATCTTTTGGGTGCAACTGTATTGCCACATATGCTTTTTGACACATGCTTAAATTTAATTATAAAAGCACGGGAAAGATTTTAACATCACATGCACAGCTACCACCAGAATACAGCTGAGCTTTGATTAGTAGATAACTTTCTGGGGTTAGCTCAACAGAATATTATTTTAGATCTTCACTTCACAGTAAGCTTATACTTGCATATATTCGTAGGGATCTCTCCACTACGAGCATCACACTCAGTGACTCTGTAGACTATTTCAAGTAATGGAGCAGAATAGAAGGTAGCACACACTTGTGTATAGCTGTGTGTATTGTAACATATAATATTACACATACGTAATAATATTATGTATCTGGGAATCCAAGATGCAGACTGGACTTTAAGCAAGAATCAGTGGGGGCATTTCAATCCTGTGGGAAATTAATAATGGGTTAAATGATATTACAGAGTTTCAGATATTCAGATTTATGTTACCTCTAACTTGGAAATGGTTTTTTGAAAGTCACATTGTAAATAAAACCTTCTCACAGTGTGACTTAACACAGGGTACAAAACTTCACCCTGCATTAAATATTCTCAGCCCTAGTCTTTGTTAGCTCAGTTTTCGTCAAATAGAAACAATACCATTGTAAGTGTGTTTTTTTTATTACAGGTATGAAATCATCATACCTAGAAAAAATTGCTGGACTGTGCAGGACTGAAAAAAATTGCAAAATTCTAAAGGGTTTCTCAGTCTTTTTTTGATGATTGATCAATTTTCCTGTTTTTTTTTTTTTCATTATGATCATGTGGTTATATCAAGACATATTCCAGTGAAAAGACTCTGACACCAAAAATTTGTCTGTTACTTCAGCAAACCTAGTAAAAATGTACTACTTCTCCCTATAAACTTAGATTCTCTCATAATTATAAATCTTTTCAATAAACTATTAGAACCTGGAAAATGTTCTGGCTACACAATATATAAAAAAGCAATTACATAGCTTTCAAATCATCGTCCAGAGCTAGACACATGAGTAACTGGCAGTAGTAATAGTTCAATAAGCTTAAGTGCATTTGGGACTCTTACTAAGGGCGGGGAAAGGAATCAATGTGACAGCTGTCCAATTTTATTTTCTCCTGGAATTTATCTGCTATGAGGTATGGCTTTGGTTAACTTTACTCAATGGAACTACCTGGAAACAAGTGTTTTTAAAATGAATGAAAGGGCGGTCCTTAAACTCCAAGGGAATGCTAAACTCCATATCCAGATTCTCTGTTATAAAGATCTTTAATAACTACCCATATAAGTATTAGAAGAACAAGGAAATCAGGATTTCATACCTATGGCGACTATAGGAATTTGTACTTACAATCCTTCCCGGCTGCCATCAATCAAAGCTTGAAACAGGGGCTTATTGTGAGGTATGGTCTGCAATATGTTCCCATCGCTAGTCACATATCCAATGGCCCACTGTCCCAAGCGAGTGCAACTCAGTCTGAAAATGTAGCTTGATAAAAACAAGATGAATACAAAAGTCAGTGCTAATCAGAGTTCAGCAAAACAAGTGAATAGAGCAAGGAGGGTTTCTGGTTAAGACATTGAATTAGGTCTCTGACGATTCGGGTCAGATTCCCAATTCCGTCACGTGTTCTTTGTACAACCTCAAATAAACCTGCATCTTTTATGCTGTCAGTTCCTCATTACTGGCAAATTTAAAAAAAAAAACAAAACACATAAAAGAAACACATAAGCACTGATTAAATTCATAATTTAAGTGTGCTATCATGAAGGATGTTGATGATTTTTACTTTACTATTAAGCAATAATTCAGTGTCAATTTTGAAAAGCAAATTATACTTTCAAATACGCTTTTCAAGAATGCTTTTCTTGTTGTATCTACCTCAGAAGAAGAAAGAAAAAGCAATGTAATTTCATTTTTTTCTGTTTATTTGTACTTATTTAGACTTTTGTGTGCTAATACAATTTTTTTTTGCTTCATAGTACTGTAGAAGAATTATGGCATAAAAACCAGATAATGGTTACAAAAATCCTATGTCTTCAAATCTAAAGGGTCAGCATTTTTTGAATGTGGATTTCTAAGCTTTAGTATCAAACTATTTTTAAAAATACCTTTTGATATAAATAAAATCACAAGTATAAAAAAAATACCTACTACTTCTCTCTTCAATCTGTTACAAAAAAAAGACAAAAATTCACTCCTTCAATATTGTAGTGAGTATAAGTATCACGGAATATAAAAGTATGAACCTGGAAGAATTATGTAGCTTCTGAGACAGCAAGTTTATTTGGAAAGCAATAACCAGCAAAACCTCTCACCTCCCAGGCTTAGTACTATATTTTTGCAACCTCGCTTTCACTTCATCGTATTTTTTTCCATATATCCAGGATGAGTCACAGCTAAGAAGTTCCAGTTCCTCAAGATTGAACCCCACGGCTAAAATAGAAGACAAACAATTAAACAGATGCTGCCAGGTAGTTGGATATTTCTAATAAAAGACAATTTGTCAGAGAGGCCTTGAAAAACACACACTTTTGGTTAAGGTCTACATAGTACAAGAGACTGCCCTATATACCCACCTTTGCTACAAGGGTTCCTTCAAACTAATTATTCCAAGATCAAGTGTAACTTTTTGGATAAAGATTTTGAAGACTTGAATTTAAGGGATCTCCTGTTTGTAGCTACATAAAATATTAAACATCATGTTTATTTAGAATGTGAAGAGTATGGCTCCATGATGGTTTAATAAAAACACAATTAAGCCTATTCTTGAAAGGTCCTGAGGCACTTTCACAGCTAATGATAAGTAACACTAACAAACGAAGCCTAACAAAGCCACTAATTTGAGCTGTCATTCCTTTTCTTATTCTTTACTTCTTGTTTCTTCAGCTACCATAATTGTATTACATCCAGAAAACAAAACAAATATTGACAGCACTTCATCACAGTCTTTGCTGACTTGAATAGCAAATGCTTTGGAAAACTCAGTGAAACATGCTGATATGCTATCACTTTGAAGAATACAGAACAGTCTTTATGATGATTTTTAAGTAGTAGATTAATACAAATACACTAAGTGTTCTTTGCCAGCATGTGTAAAGACAAGACACTGCCTCTGAATAGTTTGGAGAATTTTTTTTAATGTATTTTTCACAAGATCAAGGCAGGTGCAGTTAAGCAACACGAGAGAAGAAGCTTGTGTTCTTGTGTGCCCTGCAAATTCCCTTTAAAAGGACTTCTAAAGGCTAGTAAAGCAGAGACGAAATGCCTGCGTGACACACTTGAGCAGAGTATCCTAACATTTCTGTTTGAGATTCTGAGACATTTCCCAGGCAAACCCTAACCACTACTTAAACACGGATGAAAACCTGTTTTAAAATTAATACCTTTTCAAATCAGACACACAAAATAGAAAAGTTTCAGCACAGGGGCCATAAGAAAACTCAAGTGCTCAAATTTGTACAAAAGAAAGGAGAGAAAAAAAAAAATCACAATCCTAGATGCAACACTACATCCTGCCAGCTCCCCTCTACATCCTCCACCTAAGATGAATGCCAGGAGGCTTCATCACTTTGTCCTTCAGAAAAACAGGAAACACAAAAATGTTCTTTCTCCTGATGTGTTACTCAAGTCCATGCACGTAAATCAAAAAGGATGATCAAACATTCAGTACTTTGATGTTGTGTTGGTCCATGGTAATACAAAGGCTTGCTACAGTTAACTATAAAATAAATGCAAGTGGTGTGCAAATGGGAATGTTAAATAGGAAAAGATTTGTACCCTTGCTCTTCTATGGAAATAAAAGGACAACTTAACTGAACACCTTAACAGTGACAGAATGAAGTCCCTTTCCTTCAGAGCATCTTCATATTCTGCCATGCTAACTTTATCTCTGGTCAGAGAACACAGCACTTAAAGCTGTGCATGCATACGGGGGGAGACAGGGGGAGCAGCTTCACTTTTACAGGATCTCCAGAAAAAGCAGCCTTGCTTTCTTCTGTGAATAGCATCATTATAAATGTAGCTTTTCTGTAACACAACCCACAGTTGGCAAAACAGGATTTTGATTACTTAAACAATCGGGATTTTCTCTCCGTGGGCGTGTGCACACAGTTATAGAAGTTGTTTAAAAATTAGAGAAGTAAAATGTAACCTCTGGGAGAAGTTCTCAGACCAAGTTCAGCGCAAGTTCACTTCAACAGTTTTGTAGCTATTGCACCAGTTGGTAATCTGGCAAAAATGCTCTCTCTGCTTCTTTGTTAAATTAAAAGTTAATCCTAACCAGTCTTCTCTCCTTACATGTATCAGTACTACTGATCCCCTTTTCCTAGCACAAGGCATGGTAACCAATCAAACCAGCAATGGACTCACAAAGAAACAAATGCAAACATTCATTGGCTTACAGAACAAGGAAAATAAATTTCACTTGAGGCTTCTGTCCTGAAGTTTAATGCAACTTATAGGACCCCACACAGGGTCAGAACTAACCATTACTTCACAGATCACTGACTTTTCATTTAATTTTATACTTGATGGACAGATTAAAACAAAACAAAAAGACCCAAACCCTGCTACTATTTTTAAGTAGAATGCTTAGGGGAAAAAATCCTACAGAAAGAAACCTTAAACAAACACACTTCATGGTGATGTATGTTGCAGTCACCGGGCCTCAGACATTTTGCAGTCAAGTTTGAGATCAAGATTTGGGCTTGATTACTAAGCTGAACACCACAGTAGTTTGCCAAATACTGAAAAGGGAGAAACTTTTACAGAGTAGAAACTAATCCCAAGGCAGCAACATTCAGCCAGGAATGCTTGATCCTATCAAGCTCTACATAAAGGGCAAAGCTTAGGGGGATTTTACTAAAGCAGCATAAAGTACAATGATCTATATTCTATAGTTTATTATTTCAAAGAGAACCCCCAAAGTTTTGTTCAAACCTTCATAACTTGTGTTTTAATAAGTGACCAATGTTTGTGGTTAAATTAAACAGAGAGATTACTTACACCATAACATTTTCAACTTCGATACAATTTTGACTCAGAATGGAGAGGAGATGATAAAATCAAAACTCTGCAAACTAAAACCATTAATCATCTCCTGCCAAATCTTAATATCAATTTCATAATGGCAGCGTTTCCGATAACAGCCAAAACAAGAAAGCTAAACAGAGATTATCACAGAATAACATGGAAGACGGAACAAACAATTGGTATTTTGAACATATCTCCAACAGGCTAAAGAATAATAATAGAAATCACTTAGGTTGGTAAAGACCTTTAAGATTGTCAAGTCCAACCACTAACCTAACACCACCAAGTCCCCCACTAAACCATGTCCCTAAGTACTTGATAATCCTTTCAGTGAAGAAATTTTTCTTAACATTCAATCTAAACCTCCCCAGCACAATGTGAGGCTGTGCACCAGTATATCACTGTACGAGGTAAAGAAAATGAATGATCAAATAAATGGTTGCATACCTCAAAGATTCCTACATACAAAAGAAATATTCAAAGTGACAAATTCAGAATCAGTACATCTAATATGGATGCAAACCAGCACAGCCTTCTATACTGACTAAAATACTTCAAGTACGTTCTATAGAAGAGACAGAAGGTTAACAGAGGCGCATAACACACATACAAGCTTACTTCAGATTAATGGTATTGCCAAAGATAGTTTCTTATTATAAATAAACAGCAGAGCACTAATGGCAAAAGGATGTTCATAAAGAGTTAGGCCTACATTTAGCCTGAAAAAAAGCCATAAGCAGCTTTCCTTACCTGTTTGTAGAAACACTTCACATAGGTATATATAGATACAAAAGCATGATGAAAACACAAGGTAAACTTAGATAAGTAACTGAAGGTATACATTTCCAGGAAGGCATTTAAGAACAGTGAAAAATAAATAAGCAGCAAACACAAAGATACTGTAATCATATTAAATATGCATGGAAATGAAGCAGGTGTTGCTGAATGTTTTCAGTTTTTCAGATTTAAGTGTCAATGCCCCAGACATCTCTGATGGACTGAAAACAAATGCACATTTCTGAATTCTAGTGTTTCAGTTACTTCAGTTTTTTTAAAAAAAATCTTCTTCCTTGACCCATACGTACTTGCCTCAAGGCACTAAGCTTCTCAAATTCACACAAGTATCTCTAATTTTCAAATCTTACCTGAAATAATCTAGTGAAGATATCAAATTCAAAAATTGAAATGTAGTCATTGCAGGTCAAGTCGATAGTAGATTTAAGAGCCATTGCTTCCAAACCAGAGCTTATCTGATGAACTTCATGAAGGCACTGCCTGAACACTTTCCATGGCACTATAGTTCTGTGAGAGGGGTAGAAATACAAAAATGTAATAAAACCACATTTGATACCTTATTTAGACATCAGAACTGGACTTTTAAAGAAGTGAAACATTAATTTGGTTTCTCTACAGACAAAAAAAAAGTTTTAAAAAAATGAAGTTTTCTGAAAGCAGTCTAAGCAAATGAAAGACCAGATTACCTTGTTTTAAACACAGTCAAACAAAGTGTCATCTATTTTACAACAAAAAATAGTCAAGCTTCCTTAGGCAAACAACAAAAAGAACACTGCAGAAACTGAAATATTCTACCAAGTAGGTGTAGTAACCAACCTCGCACACTCTCAAAGATAATGTAAAGGCCCAGCTCTGTGCTTGGTAAAGAACTCCTTTCGTCTCAGCCTCTGTTCTCAGAATGATAAGCATCAATTTAGTATCTACTTGGATGAGATTTTTTTTATAGCTAAAGCTCATAAACACTGGTCAAGTAACATGACAGCAATCAACCAGATATCACCAATACTGGTCCAAGGCCTATCATAGCCCACGACAGTTACATGATTGTTAAAGACACAAGTCAGATCTTCACACACTTGTAGGATGGGGAGTATTTTCTGACAGTAGTGAATGTGGGAAAAGGTGGGAAATCAGAACAGAAGGAAATTAAAATTCTCCTGTCTGATACAAAGCTGTGTTCTGTCAAATTCAGTTTCTATTTGCATAGTCAGAGATAACGCAACTTAGCTATTTTGCTAACCAAGTGCTTATATTTTGAATCTGACATGAGTCTGATCCATCGAAAGTGCTCTATTTTATTACTCTCAAAACCATGAGAAATTGTTCAATAATATAAATTCTTCTCATGCCATTAGGGTCAAATCCAAATTTTGTAAAGCTATAACATCTTCTCTTAAAAAAGTTCTGCCTCACATTGAGAGCAGATTATATGATATTTTAAAAACATTTTAATTAACCAAAAGATAACCAACATGTAACTATTAACCAACATATAACTATTTTCAGGTCTTAACAAGATCTCATACATGCATTGTAACATTTTGTTAATAACTGCTAAAATGACAAAAGACACAGACATCACAAATTCATCAGTAGTTCTTGCAATTTTTATTAGATCACATTGTCTTTTTTTATAAGACACAAAATATTTTATTCCAGTTTTTCTAACTCTTTTGTTATGTGGAAATGTATATTACTTGGTAGTACGGTACTGTGGAAAAAAAATTGTATTAAGTTGGTCCTGCATAAGAAATATTATGCAGTTAACCTATATTAAATTTTTACATATAATTTGAAGTACAATGCTAAAGACACACCGCATCAGGCATTCATTATATTTGTAAGTGCAAAGAGATCTACTTGTTACTTGGAGGTTTATATTGAGAAAGTCATAAATTATAATATGTGAAGTTTAATACATCTCAGAAGATACTTTCATCTGTGTATGAAAAACAGGAAACCACAAAGAGCTGAAGAAAGATACCACATCAGATGCCATTTAAGAAAGAATGCACGTCAAATTTTGATTATGGTAAAGAGAGAATGAAATGTTGTACTAAGTTCAGAGAACAAGGTTGGAAAATATCAGTGCTTTTCTGGTGTTAAAGTTGTCATAGTTCAAGTGCCTACTGCTTATGTAGTTCCTGTAACCATGGCTCTGGAACGTTTTCTGATTCTCTCTGTAAACCACCCTAAATGGTTACAGCACTGGGATCACCCTGAAATGGGGCTAGACAAGTTTTTTGCTTTTGTTTTCTGGGTTTTTTTTGGAGTGGGGCAGTGTTAGGGGTTGTTTAGGGGCTTTGTTTATTTTGGGTGTTTTTAAAGGGCTAAGACAATAACCCTTAAATAAAAACCAACTGAGATTCTATCAGGGATGATTATAGCCATACTACACCTTAAGAACTGCTTTTTCATGCCTTGCCTGAGACACTTTCATGAAAACGCGTTCATTAGATGCAATTAATAGGTAGGATCTTCCGCTGCCTATTCACTAACACCCTGCACCCCCCAAAGCCCCAACAACAGAAAAAACCAAAAATCTTCAGGAGAATGTTTTTAGAGCTCTCTTGGCTCGTAGTTTGGCTGAGACAGAAACCAGATATTGGGGAATGAGTGATTAGCTACTGAAATAATATCTAAAGTTATTTTGTGGGACTTTTTCAAGTAAAAGTGTCCGAAAAAGTGGTGACCACAATTTAAAATTCACTAAATTCAACAGATTTTCTTCTGCAGCTTTGTGGAATAGCTGTTTTATCTTCAGCTTTCTTAAATAAAGGTGAGACTTGGTTGTTGAAACACATTCACTCCTATTTCTCAGCAGCTACTTTTACACAATTATCATTCCCAAATACCTTGAAATAGCACCAGCCAGAGATCATTCATCCCCCAACACCTCCCTCCAGTTTAAATATACAAATTGCTGCTCTCTTTTGAGACCTTGCAGACAGCATACACTCACTCAAAATGAGGGCATTACCAAGTCTTCATAAAATGAAGGATTCTGCAACAAACTCTCCGCCTGCTCCTGCAGCACTGAAATCTGGTGACCTTTCAGGCATACTAAGAAACATTTCCCTCTGGCAGAGATCTAGGAGGGGGTCATGCAGAACACTTCCCACAGTGATGAGGGGGTGAAAGACGTTTTCACAGACAGCTGACAAGTTGAGATTCTGTTTGAATTAACATTTCACTGCTGTTGCTTTCTTGTGTTATAGGGGATATACAGCCTTTGAAGGCACCTTTTCATTATTCAAATCCAAAGAGTTATTTTAATTGTTTGGGGAGGTGGCAGGGACAGTGGGAGGGGGAAAGGAACAGGACCAGTCAAACCAAGGTTGAGACTGGGACCGTCCTAGTTAATAGCATGCTTAGATTGTTGTTTAAATGTGTGTGTATATATACATATATTTTTAAACAGAAACAAAAATATTGCCTTCATAGAAAGAAAAAACAAGATTATGTTTGTAATTAAATACTGCCTGCAGCGTTCAGCTCCTGAACCATAGAAGGTATCTCCTGTAAATATCTTCAGTGATCTTTGTCCTTGTAATATTTGTTGCATCACGCCCTAATGATACCCTGCACCAGAGGCTGGCAGGTATTCTGCACACGCCTCATGCTATTAGGCTGAGTGTGGACACTTGTCTAGGAAGAGGTGAGTTAGTCAGCTCTGCTACAGCTCATCTGGAAGATCAGATTTGGCATCCCAGTAAGAGTTCTCTACAGAATTAGGTGGAGGAAGTGCAGCGTCTCAGTATTTAAGGTATTTAACCTTAGTTACATAAGCTATCCCTTGCAGCAGCACACACATGACTCCAGAGGATACAGTGTTCTGGGGAGTATCTCATGTGAGAGTATGGTACTACACAGTGACCCCTCAAATGTTTGATGACCAAAGTTAAGAGCCCTACCACATGTGCACATGCACACGTTATGAACAGATACACCCAGAGCTTTGGTAACAGTTTCTCTTTTCATAATTTGGGGGAAAAAAACAGGACACTGAAGTAATACAAAAATATTTGACTACATTATATGCACATACTGTTATTGTGGAACATTTTACTTTATAACGACCTTCAATTAATTCAAAATACTGAGAGACTATTTTAGAAGGAAAAAAAATATGAAGGAAGCTGAAACACACCTTATACAGCAGAAAAAATGTTATGGAGGATCTTTTACAAGGAAAATCTATTCTCTATCTGCCAGACTTTTAGGAAATTTTTCATCTGTGCAGTGCCTTTGTACTGCGTTTCCTCATTGTTAGAGCAGAAGCAAGCCTATACCAATTTAAGGAAAGAAGACACAAAATAAAACAAATGATCCTAAATATTTTTTCCTCAAGAGGCTTTCTGCACACATCTCTCTCAAATCGAAACAATTATCTTATCTTGGCATTTACCTTGGGGTTGTCTTCTAAAGAAGAGTCCTGTCAAAAACCCTAAAATAAGCCATTTCTCCCTCAAGTCTCTCAAAATGACACTACTTCTCCATATTTCTTCTGCAATAGTAAAATTAGTAAGTGTATTTGAAGAATGATGAATTAAAAAGTGTTCTGATTGAAATATAAGCTTTTAAAAATACTTTTACATAGGATGGTATCTATTTACTATTATTGACATATGTCAAAACGAAGCATCACTCTATAATCTCAAATACAGTGTTTTAAATACCACTCACACAACTTCCATATGCTTAAAGAAGGATTAGTGTCCAGCACGCAATTTTCAAGCAATTTAGCAGAGGAATTTAGGTCCTCCCTTCCCTCCTGCCCTGATCACATGTACACAGGATTTTCTTAAACTGAATCCTGCTACATTATTAAAAAAGCAAAAGACATTAAAATAAACCTGTAGAGGAAGGAAATATTTTCTGGGTGTGCAGAGTACAGCACTTCAGTAGAACTGCAGAGATGCAGCTATTCTGGAATGTCAAGTGACACTGCTCCCATTTGAACCAGAGCAGACCACAAGTATGTCTAGGAGCGCAAACACGTACCTGTGTAGCTTACACTTACAGTGAACATTTTTGTCTGCAAGAGACTCTCTCAAATGTTGCCAGAAAACATAACATGAAAAGGGCATTACTGTATCCAGAGCAAACTCAAAAATATTCAAGCAAATACTGACCCAGATAGAAACAACATTCTTTGCAAGTCTGCAGTGAGCAATGTGGATTTTGGTTTATCATCACTGAACAGAGCATTTTCTTAAGACTGCTGCTTCAGTTCTAAGTGAGAGGCCACATGTTTTCATTGCTTCTGAACTGCACAGCAAACAATTGACACACAGAAGGCTTGAGAAGTTCAGTCCTAAGGGAAAAAAGGAATTCTGCCATATCGTGCCAGCACAATTGTTAAATAGTCACATCATGCAGAACAAATATAGACGAATCTAACATGAGAAAAGGGAAGGTAAAAGAGAGAAAATGAGCCTTATGAAATGGGGAAAAATATACTACCAAAATTATCTACTTTCAAAGCTGCATAACTGTACATTGTT